ACGATGGAAAGCAGGATGAAAGACATTGACACACACGATGCCTTCTACCTACTCACCAGGTGCCTGTCAATCCCAAAACTTACCTACTTTCTGAGATGCTCCCCAGCCTTCAGCAGTCCAAAACTCAAGGAATATGACTCTCTCCTTAAGACCATGCTAGAGAGTGTATTGAATCTTTCTCTTGAAGATGGACAGTGGTTGCAAGCCTCACTTCCGGTCAGCCTTGGAGGGCTAGGAGTACGCAGATCCTCCCAGATTGCTCTACTAGCTTTCCTATCCTCTTCCATAGCATCAAACGAGTTGATAAGACAAATTCTTCCTGATACCCTCAGTGACTCAGCAGGAATAGAAGACCCTAGCTATGTCAGTGCCATCACCGAATGGGAGACTCTTGCCGCTCCAGCACCAATCCCTAGTGCAGCACTGGCTCACAGTCAAGCTGGGATGCCCCGATCGCTGAAAAGGTGCTTGCCAACATGCTCAGGGCTGCAACATCAGATAGGGAGATTGCCCGTCTCCAGGCTGTGAGCGCACATCGCTCTGGGGACTTCCTCCAAACAGTTCCCATATCGGCAATGGGAACGCGACTCGCCCCTAAGACCCTCCGTATTGCAGTGGCTCTGAGCCTTGCTGCCCCAATTCACACAGAATATACGTGTATTTGTGGCAAAGCGCAAGCAGACCAATACAGTCTACATGGTCTTAACTCTTCCAAAACCAAGGGCTGGCATGCAAGACACAATGAGGTCAACAACATCATTAAGAGAACCCTTGCTACAGCTGGACGCCCAGCCGAGAGAGAGCCCCGATCACTAGCAGCCAACAATACCCACAACCCAGCAAACCGCCCCGACGGGATCACCATCTATCCTTGGAAGAATGGCAAGCTCTTAGCATGGGACTATACCTGTGTGTCCACTCTGGCTGACACCTATATCCATTACAGTGTGGGGCGACAGGGAGGAGCTGCTGACCACAGGGAGGAGTACAAGATCAGCAAGTACAGGGACATAAGCCAACAATATCAATTTGTCTCAGTGGGATCAGAGTCCTTGGGATCATGGGGAAAAAATGCTGCACATTTCCTCAAAGAATTGGGTTTCAGACTCATCGACACCACCAGGGACCCAAGGGCAGCCACTTTCATGTTCCAGCGCGTCAGTGTAGCCATCCAGAGGGGAAATGCTTGCTGCATACTTAGCTCGCGTCCAGCCTCGGAGGAGCTGGAGGAAATTCATGATCTTTGATACATTGTTCCATTGTATTCATGTTTATGTTTTTCTGTAAATGTATTCTGTTTATTAATAAATGTTCACATAGAATATCAAATATAGGGGGTGGTAGGAGAAGAAAATATTCAAACAGCTCCGGGGAGAACCTTGAGTTTTCTCTGAGGTACGTTTTTTTGTCTTCTGTGAGGATGAGGGTCCCCATTCCAGCCATAGAGGTGGTACTTCCTTATATTTATATAATATATATATATATATATATATAAAATATATATATATATATATATATATATAATATATATATATATAAAATATATATATAATTATATATAATATATATATATATAATATATATAATATATATATATATATATATATATATATATATATAATTATATATATATATATATATATATATATATATATATATATATATATATATATATATATATATATATTATATATAAATATATATATATATTATATATATATAGGGGGTGTGTGGACCAGGTGTTTACAGTGAAACATATAAGTGAACAGTATTTAGATAAGGCTAAAGAGGTCTTTGTGTCATTTATGGATTTGGAAAAGGCGTATGACAGGGTGGATAGGGGGCAATGTGGCAGATGTTGCAAGTGTATGGTGTAGGAGGTAGGTTACTGAAAGCAGTGAAGAGTTTTTACGAGGATAGTGAGGCTCAAGTTAGAGTATGTAGGAAAGAGGGAAATTTTTTCCCAGTAAAAGTAGGCCTTAGACAAGGATGTGTGATGTCACCGTGGTTGTTTAATATATTTATAGATGGGGTTGTAAGAGAAGTAAATGCGAGGGTCTTGGCAAGAGGCGTGGAGTTAAAAGATAAAGAATCACACACAAAGTGGGAGTTGTCACAGCTGCTCTTTGCTGATGACACTGTGCTCTTGGGAGATTCTGAAGAGAAGTTGCAGAGATTGGTGGATGAATTTGGTAGGGTGTGCAAAAGAAGAAAATTAAAGGTGAATACAGGAAAGAGTAAGGTTATGAGGATAACAAAAAGATTAGGTGATGAAAGATTGAATATCAGATTGGAGGGGGAGAGTATGGAGGAGGTGAACGTATTCAGATATTTGGGAGTGGACTGTCAGGGATGGGTCTATGAAAGATGAGGTGAATCATAGAATTGATGAGGGAAAAAGAGTGAGTGGTGCACTTAGGAGTCTGTGGAGACAAAGAACTTTGTCCTTGGAGGCAAAGAGGGGAATGTATGAGAGTATAGTTTTACCAACGCTCTTATATGGGTGTGAAGCGTGGGTGATGAATGTTGCAGCGAGGAGAAGGCTGGAGGCAGTGGAGATGTCATGTCTGAGGGCAATGTGTGGTGTGAATATAATGCAGAGAATTCGTAGTTTGGAAGTTAGGAGGAGGTGCGGGATTACCAAAACTGTTGTCCAGAGGCTGAGGAAGGGTTGTTGAGGTGGTTCGGACATGTAGAGAGAATGGAGCGAAACAGAATGACTTCAAGAGTGTATCAGTCTGTAGTGGAAGGAAGGCGGGGGTAGGGGTCGGCCTAGGAAGGGTTGGAGGGAGGGGGTAAAGGAGGTTTTGTGTGCGAGGGGCTTGGACTCCAGCAGGCATGCGTGAGCGTGTTTGATAGGAGTGAATGGAGACAAATGGTTTTTAATACTTGACGTGCTGTTGGAGTGTGAGCAAAGTAACATTTATGAAGGGATTCAGGGAAAACCGGCAGGCCGGACTTGAGTCCTGGAGATGGGAAGTACAGTGCCTGCACTCTGAAGGAGGGGTGTTAATGTTGCAGTTTAAAAAACTGTAGTGTAAAGCACCCTTCTGGCAAGACAGTGATGGAGTGAATGATGGTGAAAGTTTTTCTTTTTCGGGCCACCCTGCCTTGGTGGGAATCGGCCGGTGTGATAATAAAAATAAAAATATATAATTATATATATATATATATATATATATATATATATTATATATATATAATATATATATATATATATATATATATATATAATATATATATATATATATATATATATATATGCTAGAATCGCAAACAAGCAACAAGATGCAAAGCAACACATCATCAGGAGCTTGCAAATTTGCAGAAATGAGTAAGAAATTTCGGCATATTCGTTCCAAGGGAATCTTGCTAAGAATGAGGATGGGAGGAGAGGCTGGAAACATTCAGTGACCCTGGCACTCGAGTGCGTAGTGCCTGAAGGATTGAGTGTTACAGGAATAGTGGATAGTCAGCCCACAAAGGTAATGGAGTGGGTAACCAGCAAAATTAACATTTGTAACGTAACGGTTATCAAAATTATCAGTCTAACTTCGGAACAATATAATGGACTTTACATTTTGAATATAAATGTGTCTGGCATTTGTCTTAGGGAAAATTCTACACACTTAAGGAAAATGGGTCTACGGTAAGTTCACCTAATAGGTAGACTCCAGTCGAACCACGAAAAGGAGCAAAACCCTAAGCCCTGTCAAAGTAATTTTCAATGAAGAATCAGCTCGAACCAGGATCCTGCAAGAGAAAGCAAGACTGAGGGACAAACTGGGGTACCAGAGAGTATACCTCGATCGCGACAGAACACAAGAAGAAAGGACTACACTGAAAGAGAGGGTACAAAGATGCAAGGAGGAAGGAGAGGCAATGATGATGATGAGCAGGACCCAGACACAGGAGGAAGGGCAAACACACCCCGCAGAAACTCCCGATGAAGGACTCCAACCGTGACAATCCCAACGCAACTGAGCAATCTAAACCAGAACCCACACACTGTTCCCTCTGCCACCAACCCCCACATCACAAACCTCACCCCAACAGCTGCCCCCTATGGGCATTCTGACCCCACCCCCCTCATCACAAACCCCACCCACACCACAGCCCCCCATAGGCCCCCACCAAGGCTCTCACTCCCCCAACCCCAATATTCTCCCAGGACCACAGTGATAGAAAAAAAGCTGAAGGTTTGGTACACAAACGCGGACAGAATAACGAATAAATATGAGAAGTGGCACGAAAGAATCAGCGAGAAATCCCCAGACATCATAGCAGTCACAGAAACGAAACTCGCTCAGACAATAACAGGTGCAATCTTCCCATCGGGATATCAGATCCTGAGGAAAGATAGAAGGAGTAGAGGGGAAGGAGGGGCTGCACTGCTCATAAAAAACCAATGGGGATTGGAGGAAATGGAAGGCATGAACATGATTGGAGAAAGGGACTACATAGTAGGTACAACTCAGTCTGGGGAACATAAAGTAGTCATTGGAGTGTTGTATAACCCACCACAGAACTGCAGGAGGCCAAGAGAGTAGTACGAAGAAAACAACAGAGCGATGGTGGACACACTGGCTGAGATGGCAAGAAGAGCTCACTCGAGCAGAGCAAAGTTACTAGTAATGGGCGATTTCAACCACAGGGAGATCGACTGGGAAAACCTGGAGCCACATGGGGGTCCCGAAACATGGAGAAGCAAGATGATGGATGTGGTACTTGAAAATCTCATGCATCAACATGTCAGGGACACTACCAGAGAGAGAGGGGAGGATGAGCCAGCAAGACTGGATCTTGTGTTCACTCTGAGCAGTTCAGACATTGAGGACATCACTTACGAGAGGCCCGTTGGAGCTAGCGATCACGTGGTTCTGAGTTTTGATTATATAGCAGAGTTACAGGTGGAGAAAGTAACAGAAATTGAATGGGAAAAGCCAAACTTTAAAATGGGGGACTACACAGGTATGAGGAATTTCCTGCAGGAGGTTCAGTGGGACAGAGAACTGGTAGGAAAATCAGTAAACAAGATGATGGAATAGTAACAACAAAGTGCAAGGAGGCAGAGGAAAGGTTTGTTCCCAAGGGAAATAGAAATAATAGGAAGACCAAAGCGAATCCTTGGTTTACCCGAAGGTGTAGGGAGGCATAAACTAAGTGACCCAGAGAGTGGAAAAGGTAGAGGAGGCAAAGGACCCAGGAAAATAAGGAGATTAGTAGAAGAGCCAGAAACGAGTATGCACAGATAAGGAGGGAGGCCCAGCGACAGTACGAAAACGACATAGCATCGAAAGTCAAGTCTGACCCGAAACTGCTGTATAGCCACATTAGGAGGAAGACAACAGTCAAAGACCAGGTGATAAGGCCGAGGAAAGAAGGTGGGGAACTCACAAGAAACGATCAGGAAGTATGTGAGGAGCTCAATATGAGATTTAAGGAAGTATTTACAGTGGACACAGGAAGGCCACTGGGGGGACAGAACAGAGGGGAACACCAGCAAGGAATATACCAACAAGTGTTGGATGACATACATGCAAATGAGGAGGAGGTGAAGAAGCTGCTAAGGGACAGCGATACTTCAAAGGCAATGGGACCGGACAACATCTCCCTGTGGGGCCTTAGAGAGGGAGCGGATATGCTGTGTGTGTCACTTACCACAATCTTCAACACATCCCTGGAAACTGGGCACCTACCTGAGGTATGGAAGATGGCAAATGTAGTTCCCATTTTTAAAAAAGGAGACAGAAAAGAGGCACTAAACTATAGACCTGTGTCACTGGCGTGTATAGTATGCAACGTTATGGAGAAGATTATCAGGAGGAGAGTGGTGGAGCACTGGAATGGAACAAGAGTATAAACGCCAACCAGCACGGATTCATGGAAGACAAATCCTGTTTCACAAACCTTCTGGAGTTTTATGATAAAATAACAGAAGTAAGACACGAAGGAGAGGGGTGGGTTGATTGCATATTCTTGGACTGCAAGAAGGCCTTTGACACAGTTCCTCACAAGAGATTAGAGCAGAAGCTAGAGGATAAGGCGCATATAACAGGAAGGGCATTGCAGTGGATCAGAGAATACCTGACAGGGAGGCAACAACGAGTCATGGTACGTGATGAGGTATCACAGTGGGCACCTGTGACGAGCGGGGTCCCACAGGGGTCGGTCCTAGGACCAGTGCTATTTTTGGTATATGTGAACGACATGATGGAATGGTTAGACTCAGAAGTGTCACTGTTCGCAGATGATGTGAAGTTAATGAGGAGAATTAAATCAGACAAGGTGGACAAAGACAGGCCAAATGCTGAAAAACTCACTCAAGGAGGAAGACCTAGGAGGGAGTGAGTATAACACCGAGTACATCGCCAGAAGCACACATTAACCAGATAACTGCTGCGGCATATGGGCGCTTGGCAAACCTGAGAATAGCGTTCCGGTACCTCAGTAAGGAATCGTTCAAGACTTTATACACTGTGTACGTCAGGCCCATACTGGAGTACGCAGCACCAGTTTGGAACCCACATCTGGTCAAACACGTCAAGAAATTAGAGAAAGTGCAAAGGTTCGCAACAAAGCTAGTTCCAGAGCTAAGGGGAATGTCCTATGAAGAAAGGTTAAGGGAAATCTTTCTGACAACACTGGAGGACAGGAGGGTCAGGGAAAGCATGATAATGACATATAAAATACTGCGTGGAATAGATAAGGTGGACAAAGACAGGATGTCCCAGAGATGGGACACAGATGACTCAGATGAGTCAAAGGGATGTTAGGAAGTATTTCTTCCGTCATAGAGTAGTTAGGAAGTGGAATAGTCTGGCAAGCGATGTAGTGGAGGCAGGAACTATACATAGTTTTAAGACGAGGTATGATAAAGCTCATGGAGCAGGGGGAGAGAGGACTTAGTAGCGGTAGGTGAAGAGGTGGGGCCAGGAGCTGACTCTCGACCCCTGCAACCACAATTAGGTGAATTAGGTGAGTACACACACACACACACACAAACACACACCCATACACATATATATATATATATATATATATATATATATATATATATATATATATATATATATATACATATATATATAAATATATATATATATATATATATATATATATATATATATATATATATATATATATATATATATATATATATATATATTTATATATGTGGTGCAGAATAGGCAGAACTTGCGATCTTGGCTTAAATAGCAACGTTCATCTTGTCATATAGGACAAGTGAAAATTTGTGTATGCAATAATTTCGCCAAAATCATTCTGAACCTAACGAAAAAAATATATTTCACTGTGTTTGTTTAGTATTAAATTATTGTAAACAAATTTAAAATGTATTTAGTTGGGTTAGGCTAAAATAAATTGCTCTTGTTATGATAAGGTTAGGTAAGTTTTCTAAGATTCTTTTGGTGCAAAATTAAAAAATTTTACATTAACATTAATAAAAAAAATATCTTTAAACGTACAAGAGAAAATTTTAGAAAGGACTTAATTTTAAATGAGTTCTTGCTAATTGACCAGTTTTACATATTCGGCACGACATATATATATATATATATATATATATATATATATATATATATATATATATATATATATATATATATATATACATACGTGTGTGTATGTGTTTGTTAGTGCAAATTTTTTCCTGCTAAATATATGCACATCTTTTAATTCTAAGCATGAAAGAAAAAATCATTGAATAAAAAACCTGTTTGAGTGAAGTACTGGCCGATGAACATAGTTATGACGATCTCCAGATCCATGAGGACGTGATCACCTCTCTTCACCAGGGTGTTGATGGCATGAGGGAACTCATGCAGCAGTTTATATTTGAGGCGACCCTTGGTCTCAGCCTCCGCCACCTCGTGAAAGATCCCAGACTTGACAGACTTTAGGAAAAAAAAAAACAATAGACATTAATGTTATTGGGTCTTAATTTACCATATAGTTGATCGTACTGGCCAGGTTGTGGCAGCCACCACCAAAATTCTTTTATAGGTAGTAGATTGGTAGACAGCAACCACCCAGGGAGGTACTACCGTCCTGCCAAGTGAGTATAAAACGAAAGCCTGTAATTGTTTTACATGATGGTAGGATTGCTGGTGTCTTTTGTCTGTCTCATAAATATGCAAGATTTCAGGTACGTCTTATTACTTCTACTTACACTTAAGCCACACTGCACATATATGTACAAGAATATATGTACACACTCACCTGAGTTTTCTTTGATTTTAGCTTAATAGTTCTTGTTCTTATTGCTTTTCCTTTTATATCCATGGGGAAGTGGAATAAGAATCTTTCCTCCGTAAGCCATGCGTGTTGTAGAAGTCAACTATATGCCAGGAACAATGGGCTAGTAACCCCTTATCCCGTATAGCTTACTAAAAACAAAAGGAAGAAAACCGTCAAAGTGAGATGCTTGAATGTGCGTGGATGTTGTGGGAATGATAAGAAAGAGATGATTATGGATGTTATGATTGAGAAGAAGCTGGATGTCCTGGCTTTAAGTGAAACAAAGCTGAAGGGGGTGGGAGAGTTTCAATGGAGAGGAATAAATGGGATTAGGTCAGGGGTTTCAAATAGAGTTAGAGCTAAAGAAGGAGTAGCAATAATGTTGAAGGATAAGTTATAGCAGGAAAAGAGGAAATATAAGTGTGGATTATGTGGAGTAAAATAAGGGTTGGATTTGAAAAGCGGGTTATAGTAAGCATTTATGCACCTGGATAAGAGAGAAGTGTAGAGGAGAGAAAGAGATTTTGGGAAATGTTGAGTGAATGCGTGGGGAGTTTTGAACCAAGTGTGAGAGTACTTGTGGCTGGGGATTTCAATGCTAAAGTGGGTAAAAATGTTGTGGAGGGAGTAGTAGGTAAATATATGGTGCCAGGGGCAAATGAAAATGGGGAGCCTTTAATTGAGCTATGTGTAGAAAGAGGTTTGGTAATAAGTAATACATATTTTATGAAAAAGAGGATAAATAAGTATACAAGGTATGATATAGCACGTAATGAAAGTAGTTTGTTAGATTATGTATTGGTGGATAAAAGGTTGATGGGTAGACTCCAGGATGTACATGTTTATAGGGGGGCAACTGATATATCGAACCATTATTTAGTTGAGCTACAGTTAGAGTTAGAGGTAGATGGGACGATAGAAAAATGGCAACAAGAGAGAGACGAAAGTGTATAAACTAAAAGAGGAGGAAGTTAGGGGTAGATATTAGCAACTATTAGCAGAAAGGTGGGCTGGTGCAAGTATGAGTAGTAAGGGGGGGGGGTTGAAGAGGGTTGGAATAGTTTTAAAAATGTAGTATTAGAATGTGTGGCAGAAGTTTGTGGTTATAGGAGGGTGGGTGCAGGAGGAAAGAGGAATGATTGGTGGAATGATGAAGTAAAGGGTGTGATAAAAGAGAAAAAGGTAACTTGTGAGAGGTTTTTACAAAGCAGAAAGGTTATAAGAAGAGCAGGGTATATGGAAAGTAAAAGAAAGGTGAAGAGAGTGGTGAAAGAGTGCAAAAGGAGAGCGGATGATAGAGTGGGAGAAGCACTGTCAAGAAATTTTGAAAAAAAACAAAAAAAAATTTGGAGATGAACAATTAAAGAAAGCCTAGGGAACTAATGGATTGGAACTAATGGGGAGTTAGTAGATGGGGAACTGGAGGTATTGGTAGATGGAGAGAACATTTTGAGGAACTTTTAAATGTCGACGAAGAAAGGGAAGCGGTCATTTCATGCACTGGCCAGGGAGGTATACCATCTTTTAGGAGTGAAGAAGAACAGGATGTGAGTGTGGGGGAGGTGCGTGAGGCATTACGTAGAATGAAAGGGGGTAAAGCAGCTGGAATTGACAGGATTATGACAGAAATATTAAAAGCAGGGGGGGATATAGTGTTGGAGTGGTTGGTATTTTTGTTTAATAAATGTATGTAAGAGGGGAAGGTACCTAGGGATTGGCAGAGAGGGGAAAGAGGGACAAAAAGATTGTAAAAATTATAGTTTACTGAGTATACCAGGAAAAGTGTATGGTAGGGTTATTATTGAAAGAATTAGAGGTAAGACAGAAAGTAGGATTGCGGATGAACAAGGAGGTTTTAGAGTGGGTAGGGGATGTGTAGATCAAGTGTTTACATTGAAGCATATATGTGAACAGTATTTAGATAAAAGTAAGGAAGTTTTCATTGCATTTATGGATTTTGAAAAGGCATATGATAGAGTGGATAGGGGAGCAATGTGGCAGATGTTGCAAGTATATGGAATACGTGGTAAGTTACTAAATGCTGTAAAGAGTTTTTATGAGGATAGTGAGGCTCAGGTTAGGGTGTGTAGAAGAGAGGGAGAATACTTCCCGGTAAAAGTAGGTCTTAGACAGGGATGTGTAATGTCACCATGGTTGTTTAATATATTTATAGATGGGGTTGTAAAAGAGGTAAATCCTAGGGTGTTCGGGAGAGGGATGGGATTAAATTATGGGGAATTAAATACAAAACAGGAGTTGACAGAGTTACTTTTTTGCTGATGATACTGTGCTTATGGGAGATTTTAAAGAAAAGTTGCAAAGGTTAGTGGATGAGTTTGGGAGTGTGTGTAAAGGTAGAAAGTTGAAAGTGAACATAGAAAAGAGTAAGGTGATGAGGGTATCAAATGATTTAGATAAAGAAAAATCGGATATTATTTTGGAGGGAAGGAGTATGGAAGAAGTGAATGTTTTCATATATTTGGGAGTTGATGTGTCAGCGGATGGGTTTATGAAGGATGAGGTTAACCATAGAACTAATGAGGGAAAAAAGGCGAGTGGTGCATTGAGGTATATGTGGAGACAAAAAACGTTATCAATGGAGGCAAAGAAGGGAATGTATGAAAGTATAGTAGTACCAACACTCTTATATAGGTGTGAAGCTTGGGTTGTGAATGCTGCAGCGAGGAGGCAGTTGGAGGCAGTGGGGGATGTCCTGTTTAAGGGCAATGTGTGGTGCAAATATTATGCAGAGAATTTGGTGTGTGGGAATTAGGAGGTGAGGAGTTAATAAAAGTATTAGTCAGAGGGCTGAAGAGAGGTTGTTGAGGTGGTTTGGTCATTTAGAGAGAATGGATCAAGGTAGATTGACATTGAGAGCATATAAATCTGTAAGGGAAGGAAGGCGGGGTAAGGGTTGTCATCGAAAAGGTTGGAAGGAAGGGGTAAGGGAGGTTCTGTGGGGGAGGGGCTTGAACTTTCAGCAGGCGTGCATGATCGTGTTCGATAGGAGTGAATGGAAACAAATGGTTTTTGGGACCTGACGAGCTATTGGAGTGTGAGCAGGGTAATATTTAGTGGATTATTATTATTATTATTATAAAAAAGAAGCGCTAAGCCAAATATTTAGTGAGGGGAGTCAGGGAAACTTTTTATTTTTATATAGCTGGACTTGAGTCCTGGAAATGGGAAGTACAATGTCTGCACTCTAAAGGAGGGGTTCGGGATATTGGCAATTTGGAGGGATATATTGTGTATCTTTACATATATTCTAAACTGTTGTATTTGGGCGCCTCTGCATAAACAGTGATTATGTGTGAGTGAGGTGAAAGTGTTCAATGATTTTCTTTCTTTTCAGGTCACCCTGCCTCGGTGGGAGACGGCCGACTTGTTGATGAAAAAAAACACATGACGCTGTAGTCCCCGAGAACACACAATCCCGTGGACTAGAAAGTCATGTGTTTTCGCTCGCCATGAGGCGGAACAAGGCAGCATGGGTTCGACTCCTTTTCTAGTCGCAGTGTTGTTATTGATATATGTGTGTGTGTGTGTGTGTGTGTGTGTGTGTGTGTGTGTGTGTGTGTGTGTGTGTGTGTGTAGATAGACAACATCCACACGGGGAGGCACTACCATCCTGCCAGTTGTGTGCCAAACGGAAACCTATGGTTGTTTTACACAAGGGTAGGAATGATTGCCTCTTTTTCTTTCTGTCTCATAAACAGGTACGTCTTGCTAATTCTACTTACAATTATGCACACTACATATACTTGTACATGAATATATGTACAAACAGATCGTAGTTTTTGCCTATATTTCCATACAGAGTGGAACGAGTCCTTAACTCTACTGCTGCTCCCTGTTTCCACTGAGATGAAGAACCCATTGGATAGAGTCTCCCAGTATGAACCACCAGACACAACACACTAGCATGAACCACCAAACACAATACACTAGTATGAACCACCAGACACAACACACTAGTATGAACCACCAGACACAACACACTAGTATGAACCACCAGACACAATACACTAGTATGAACCACCAGACACAACACACTAGTATGAACCACCAGACACAACACACTAGTATGAACCACCAAACACAATACACTAGTATGAACCACCAGACACAACACACTAGTATGAACCACCAGACACAACACACTAGTATGAACCACCAAACACAACACACTAGTATGAACCACCAGACACAACACACTAGTATGAACCACCAAACACAATACACTAGTATGAACCACCAGACACAACACACTAGTATGAACCACCAGACACAACACACTAGTATGAACCACCAAACACAATACACTAGTATGAACCACCAGACACAATACACTAGTATGAACCACCAGACACAATACACTAGTATGAACCACCAGACACAATACACTAGTATGAACCACCAGACACAACACACTAGTATGAACCACCAAACACAATACACTAGTATGAACCACCAGACACAATACACTAGTATGAACCACCAGACACAACACACTAGTATGAACCACCAAACACAATACACTAGTATGAACCACCAGACACAATACACTAGTATGAACCACCAGACACAACACACTAGTATGAACCACCAGACACAATACACTAGTATGAACCACCAGACACAACACACTAGCATGAACCACCAAACACAATACACTAGTATGAACCACCAGACACAATACACTAGTATGAACCACCAGACACAACACACTAGTATGAACCACCAGACACAACACACTAGTATGAACCACCAGACACAATACACTAGTATGAACCACCAGACACAACACACTAGTATGAACCACCAACACAATACACTAGTATGAACCACCAGACACAACACACTAGTATGAACCACCAGACACAACACACTAGTATGAACCACCAGACACAACACACTAGTATGAACCACCAGACACAACACACTAGTATGAACCACCAAACACAACACACTAGTATGAACCACCAGACACAACACACTAGTATGAACCACCAAACACAACACACTAGTATGAACCACCAGACACAATACACTAACATGCACCACCAGACACAACACACTAACATGCACCACCAGACACAACACACTAACATGCACCACCAGACACAACAAACTAACATGCACCACCAGACACAACACACTAACATGCACCACCAGACACAACACACTAACATGCACCACCAGACACAACACACTAACATGCACCAACAGACACAACACTAACATGCACCACCAGACACAACACACTAACATGCACCACCAGACACAACAAACTAACATGCACCACCAGACACAACACACTAACATGCACCACCAGACACAACAAACTAACATGCACCACCAGACACAATACACTAACATGCACCACCAGACACAACACACTAACATGCACCACCAGACACAACACACTAACATGCACCACCAGACACAACAAACTAACATGCACCACCAGACACAACACACTAACATGCACCACCAGACACAACACACTAACATGCACCACCAGACACAACACACTAACATGCACCACCAGACACAACACACTAACATGCACCACCAGACACAACACACTAACATGCACCAACAGACACAACACTAACATGCACCAACAGACACAACACTAACATGCACCAACAGACACAACACTAACATGCACCAACAGACACAACACTAACATGCACCAACAGACACAACACTAACATGCACCAACAGACACAACACTAACATGCACCAACAGACACAACACTAACATGCACCAACAGACACAACACTAACATGCACCAACAGACACAACACTAACATGCCCCAACAGACACAACACTAACATGCACCACCAGACACAACACTAACATGTACCAACAGACACAACACTAACATGCACCAACAGACACAACACTAACATGCACCACCAGACACAACACTAACATGCACCAACAGACACAACACTAACATGCACCAACAGACACAACACTAACATGCACCAACAGACACAACACTAACATGCACCAACAGACACAACACTAACATGCACCACCAGACACAACACTAACATGCACCACCAGACACAACACACTAACATGCACCAACAGACACAACACTAACATGCACCAACAGACACGACACTAACATGCACCAACAGACACAACACTAACATGCACCACCAGACTCCCACAACAAACCCACATGAAAGTACTGGACGTTAGTTGAGTTGGTCTGCCACAGCATGGTAACAGAGGGGTCGTCCAGCACGTCACGGATGCTCTGGTAGGGCTGCTGTATGTGTCTCACTGCCAGCGATGACATGAGGTTTCCACCATAGCTCTTACTGAGCACTAAGGCCATGATCACCCACCCACCAATGATCAACCTCTTCCACCATGCCAGCGCCCAAGTCCTGTAATCTTGGAGTTGGAAGAGACGAGGTATAAAGTGGTCATGTTTCTATTGTTGTTTCTTCAACAAGCTTCTTGACAATCATTATTTGACAGTCATTACAGTGGTTATTGGTAATGAATTTTTAAATCCCTTTATTATGATTATTATTATTATTATTATTATTATTATTATTATTATTATTATTATTATTATTATTATTTTAATTCTAGCAGCTGTTATTTTGAAAGTGTTATTTGTATCATTATTAATTATTATTATTTTGTTATTATTATCAGTAGTATTATTATCAATATTATTACTTTATTATTATTATTATTATTATTATTATTATTATTATTATTATTATTATTATTATCATTATCATTATCATTATCAGTAAACACACTAGCATGCACTTAACAACAAAGTTAAGTAAAATACTGAAACTCTTAACAAAATATGACCAAAAACTCAATGATATACGTAAATAAATTAGACACATGTACAAGTCTTGGGTATCTTTATTGAGGAAACGTTTCGCCACACAGTGACTTCATCAGTCTATACAAAGGAGAAACGTGAAGAACAGGAGGAGAATGAGGTAATCAGTCCCTCAACCTTGAGTCGATGTGGTCAGTCCATCAATCTTGAATAGGATACGGCATATGTGCGGAGAAGTGACTTATTTACCGTAGGCAGGACAGGTGCAGCAGTCGTAGGTGGTGTCACATTTGTCCAATGTGGAAGTAGGTCGTGCCCAAGGTCGTGCCTAAGGGTTAGGCAAGCGAAGAATTCCCAAGTATTAAGATCCCAAGAAGTTGCAGTGTCTGACAGGATTATAGAGAATTTATCAACGTGTCGGTTCTCTGAACCATTTATCTGCAATATACGTAAAGTACACTTGAAATGGCTCTTCTTTTTCATACACTGACAAGTAATTACACTGACAGAACTAGAAGTATGTATGATGGGTGTCAGTGTGAGCGTGGCGAATACTGAGTACTGAGAGTACAGAGTAGTGACGGGCTGGAGTTTTGAGACTCTATGACCGCGGGTTCAATCCCGGCCGGGGGTATGGTTTAGTACAGAGTAGTATTCTTGGGGACGTTTTCAGCCCCCACAGTGTGGCTCGTGCTATATGTAACAATTTCTAATCTTATATTAGTATTGTGAAAAGTTTGGAATAATTGTGCCACTGATGATAAAAGCATGGAACATGACACATAACTGAGACATATTATATTGAAGGCTTTCCGTTACATGGCGGAGGACGATTTTCAGAATTACTTCCTAGGAAATATTTCGCATTTTCTCCGTAGCAATTCTGATGCTGCATGGATAAAAATGGTTGTAAATTCGCTTTAACTTGAAAAAAAAAACACACAAAATAACATCACAGACACAAATACCTCATTCTCCTCCTGTTCTTCAAGATTCTCCTTCGTATGGACTGATGAAGCCACTGTGTGGCGAAACGTTTCCTCAATAAAGATACCCAAGAGTTGCACCTGTGTCTAATTTATCAACAAATACCGAAAGGGATAAACTCAAAAGTGTCTCTGTTAGCAGATGATGTGAAGTTAATGAGGAAAATTAAATCGGAAGAGGATCAGACAGGACTACAGTGGGACCTGGACAGGCAGCAAGCCTGGTCCAGTAACTGGATCCGGAAATCTAACCCTGTCAATTGCAAAGTTATGAAGATCGGGGAAGGGCAAAGAAGACAGCAGATAGAGTACAGTCTAGGGTGCCAAAGACTGCAAACCTCACTCAAGGAGAAGGATCTAGGGGTGAATATAGTACCGAGTATATCTCCTGAGGCGTACATTAATCAGATAACTGTTGCAGCATATGGGCGTCTAGCAAACCTAGAATAGCATTCCGATACCTCGGTAAGGAATCGTTCAAGACTCTGTACACCGTGTACAATAGGCCCATATTCGAGTAAGCAGCACCAGTTTGGAAGCCACACCTAGTCAATCACATCAAAAAATTAGAGTAAGTGCAAAGGTTTGCAAGAAGACTAATTCAGGAGATAAGGGAAATGTCCTACGAAGAAAGGTTAAGGGAAATCGACCTGACGACACTAAAGGACAGGAGGGTCAGGGGAGACATGAAAACGACATATAAAACTGCGTGGAATTGACAAGGAGGACAAAGGCAGGATGTTCCAGAGATGTGACACAGCAACAAGGGGTCACAATTGAAAGTTAAAAATTCAGATGAGACAGAGGGTTGTTAGGAAGTATTTCTTCAGTCATAGAGTTGTTGTAAGTGGATTAGTCTGGAAAGTGAAGTAGTGGAGGCAGGATCCATACATAGTTTTAAAATGAGGTATGATAAAACTCATTGAACACGTAGAGAAAGGACCTAGTAGCGACCATTGCAGAGGCAGGGCCAGGAGCTATGACTCGACTTCTGCAACCACAATTAGGTGAATACACACACACACACACACACACATTGCAGAGGCAGGGCCAGGAGCTAAGACTCGACCCCTGCAACCACAAATAGGTGAGTACACACACACACACACACACATATATATATATATATATATATATATATATATATATATATATATATATATATATATATATATATATATATATATATAATATACATATATATATATATATATATATATATATATATATATATATATATATATATATATATATATATATATATATATATATATATATATATATATATATATATATATATATATATATACATATATATATATATATATATATATATATATATATATATATATATATATATATATATATATATATATATATACGTGTGTGTGTGTGTATGTGTGTGTGTGTGTGTGTGTGTGTGTGTGTTCAATATTTAACTAACCTTGCTGTAATAATATTCTGGTCAGGTCAAAAATGTCCTTAACCCAGGTGTGATGATTAGTTTTGATCAACAAGCATGAAGACAGTAGCAGCAGTGCAAGAGGCAGTATAATGAGCGCCCCCAGGGTGGCTGCCCACACAGGCAGCTCTAGAGGCAGCAGGAAGCCCCAGGGATCCACCACCGGTCTGCCTCGACTACCCAGGATCCTGCAGTACTGTATTGTCACTGGCCAGGTGAAGTCCACCACCTCACTGCGACTCTCAGTGATTCCAAACAGGCCAATGGCGAAGTCTGCTTCCTAATTTTAGGTAGTCGATGCTATTATTAATGAAAATACGAATTCGGTTTTCTATGTACAATATAACAACACGTTGAAATAATTAATTAAAATATATTGTTAAAAAATATTTGACGAGAAAATGGCACGGAATTACTCAAATTAATCAGACATATATCAAGTAGTTTGGTTATATTTCAATGATTATCACAAACTATAAACACACAGAAGCTTTACACAATACACAAATAACCAGCTCGTAGGAGAATGAAACTTATGACGACGTTTCGCTCTAACTTGGACCATTGAGTAGTTATTAACATATTTTCTTTAAATGCCGTGGTTAATGGCCTTTGCGCAAAATAATTTTCCAAACTAATTACCAGTTGCTCATAATTTTTTAATTATTTTAAGTACAGTATTGTCAATGAAGAGAACTGCGTTATCAGCAATGATAAGTCCCAGCTGATACGTGGGAATAAACGATGATCAGGTCGTTGTTATTGGCTACCGGAAGTGTATTGCCCTTTCATGCACATTACTAACAACCTATCAAATGGTTGAATTAATTAGATTTTTGCCTCACTCTCATATGGGTGTGAAGGATGGGATTTGAATGTTGCGGCGAGGTGGAGGCTGAAAACATTAATGTTGTGCCTGATGCCAATGTGTGGTATGAATATTATGCAGAGAACTCATAGTTTGTAGATTATTAGGTGCGGAGTTACCAAAAAAATTATTCAGAGGGCTGAGAAGAGAGTGTTGTTGTGGTTTGGACATTTAGAGAGGATGGGGTGAAAAAGAATAAGTAGGAGGGTATATAAATCTGGAAAGGAGGGTAGGGGTCGTTCTTGGAAGAGTTGGAGAGAAGGGGGGGGGGTAAAGGAGGTTTTTAAATGCTAGTGGCTTGGATATCAAGCAAGCTTAGGTAAGTATATTATACTTGAGTATTTTTCATGATCTGATGTGCGTTGGAGTGTGAGAAATGTAACATTTATGAAGGTATTCAGGGAAACTGGTTAACTGGACTTGAGTCCTGGAGGTGGGAAGTATAGTGCCTACACTCTGAAGGAGAGATGGGGATGTTACATTTTGGAGAGTCATGAATGAAAGTGTTTCTTCTTTCTCTCGGGTCACCCAACCTCGTTAGGAGACTGTCAGTATGATAAAAAAAATATTAAAAGAATGCTGATACAGTCGAGGGTATACCAAGGAGCATGCCTCTAGCCATGCAAGCATTAGTCATGCGGGAGCATTACTTATATGTGGAGCTGCGCAAACTACTGTAGATGTACAGTAGTATGCAAATTAATTGGGACAGGAGTAAATTTTGTAATTATTTCATAATATGTCTTAATCTCCGGCTCAATTAATGTAGTTTGGGTTCTTTTCTTTTCAGAACAGGTTACTGCCGACCTCTGACAATCATCCAGCTGTGGTGTTACCCTGCAACTCTCGCCAGTGCTACAACAGTTGTTGTTCTGTAAGGCTATTCCTGCAATCGTGCTCTATGAGTGAATGTGGTTTCGCCAAATTCTTCCTTTCAGTTCATGATTACTGCTGAAATTCATGATAGACGTTACACCTAGGAATCGTGTAAGTATTGTAACTCTTAGAAAATATACTGATTTGAGTATCAGACAGATCGCCGAAAATTTGAGCGTAGCAAAGTCAACTGTTGGTCTGATTCTGAAGAGATGCTGATGACACTGGTGATTCTGGAGCGCTACGCCTAGGAAGATGTGGAAGAAATAGTATAAAGGATCCCAAGAAAACAGAGATTTGGCTCAGCCCCATATCCACTATGACACACTCACCCTCCTCAGCCCCCTGTCCACTATGATACACCCATTCTCATCAGCCCCATGTCCACCATAACACATTCACCCTCCTCAACCCAATATCAACCATAACACACCCTCGTCAGCCCCATGTCCACCATAACACACCCTCATCAGCCCCATGCCCACCACGGCAGCCACTTATCCTCTTAAACACCATGTCCATCATACCATTCATTTATCTTTATGATCACCATACCTTGAATGATACATATACCTTCCTCAGCACTATACACAATGTGAAAATTAGACACATGTGCAACATCAAGGAATCTTTGTTTAAACGTTACGCCATCCAGAGGTTTTGTCAATACAAATTCAGGGACATAATGTGTATGCCCAGTTAGATTTATATCGCACGTCAGGCTGCCGTTTGCATTACTCGCCATATACTGGTGCTGACATCTACAAGCCTACCAAGCTAGGCCCGCAGCATGCTCACTCTGCCTCACTATGGCAGCCGACGTCACTCAGACAACAATTGTTTACTCAGTCATTCTCTCACGAGCATGGCCCTCTGGGCCTTGGGCAGCCAAAACACTGCCATGTAGAAGAACCCAAATAAAGTAACGAGCCTCCGAAGTCTATCTTTCATCCCGGCTTGTACAGCTCCCATTATAACTGATAAGAAGACAGTAGAACTATATGCAAAAGATGAGGTACTCAGTCTTTCAGCCTTAGAGCTGGTGTGAAGAGCACCGTTGTCGTGCTCTTACAGTGCTCTTCACACCAACTCTAAGGCTGAGGGACTGAGTACCTCATCTTTGGTATATAGTTCTAATGTTTTCTATTTGTCCCTGATGAAGCCATTGGATGGCGAAACGTCTACAGTAAAAATACCCAGATGTTGCACCTGTGTCTAATTTTCATCTTGTCGTTATTGTATACCTTTCATGTACACATTATAACACACACACATCCTTAACGCTGCTCAGCACCATACCCACATTCCACACACTAACTTTCAGTACCAAACCCTACATATTATGCACCTACCTTCCTCACTACCATACTCACCATGCCACTCATACTTACCCTCCTGATCACCATACCCACCATGCCGGTCCAGGACCCATCACTCTGCTTGGAGCCAAAAGTACCATCAGTTGGGTTTACATACTTGTACCTGCAGAAGGAAAACGTTGAGGCTGTCACTGTGTGTACATTACGAACCAGAGAGCAAGGTGTGTTACGCATAGAGCCAGGTGTGTTACACATAGAGCGAGGTGTGTTACACATAGAGCCAGGCGTGTTACACATAGAGCCAGGTGCGTTACACATAGAGCCAGGTGTGTTACACATAGAGCCAGGTGTGTTACACATAGAGCCATGTGTGTTACACATAGAGCCTATACTATAAATGATTCTAACCGTGTATTATTATTATTATAATCAAAAAGAAGCGCTAAGCCACAAGGGCTATACAGCTCTAACCGTGTAGATTTGTTTAAGGATTATTTTAAAACAAAACAGAGAAATATCGATTTTAGTGAAGATTTTTTTTTTTTTTTTTTTTTTTTTTTTTTTTTTTTTTTTTTTTTTTTTTTTTAATATTAATTTGTATAACACTAGTACTAGAGTTAATAGAAACGTCATATTTACTAACTTAGGTTTGAATATTTTATTCTTTGCTTGTCATTTGTTTACAAAAATATGTTGAAATAGTTGTGAAAAATAGATGATATATATTTTTTTTTAGTTTTTATTAACACATCGGCTGTTTCCCACCAAGGCTGTGTGACTCTAAAAAGAAGAAACACTTTCATCATAATTCACTCCATCACTGTCTTGCCAGAAGCTCGCCTACATTTCAGTTAAAAAAACTGCAACGTATCTCCACCTCTCCTTCAGAATGCAGTCACTGTACTTTGAAGGAATACGTACGTACCTGAAGGAGGAGTACGTACTGTACTCTGAACAGCACGTACCTGCACTGTACTCCTACAGGAAAACCGACTAACCGGTTTCCCTGAATCCCATCATAATGTTGCTTTGCTCACACTCCAACAGCACGTCAACTTATAAAACCATTTGCCTCCACTAGCTCCTATCTAACATACTCACGCATGCTTGTTGGAAGTCCAAGCCCCTGGCACACGAAACCTCCTCTACAACCTCCCTCTAACCTTTCCAGGGACGACCCCTACCCCGCCTTCCTTCCACTACAGATTTATACGCTCCCCGAGACATTCTATTTTGTTCCATCCTTCGTACCACCTCAACAACTCCTTAGCCTCTGGATAATACTTTTAGAAACACTACAACTCTTAATCTCCATACTACGGATTCTCTGCATAATATTCACACCACACATTGTTCTCAGACACATCTTCGCTGCTTCCAGCCTTCTTCTCGTTGCAACATTCATCACCAATGCTTCTCCGCCATATATATATGTATATATATATATATATATATGTGTGTGTGTGTGTGTGTGTGTGTGTGTGTGTGTGTGTGTGTAGGTAGTAGGTTGGTAGGCAGCAACCGCCCAGGGAGGTACTACCGTCCTGCCAAGTGGGTGTAAAACGGAATCCTGTAATTGTTTTACATGATGGTAGGATTGCTGGTGTCTTTTTTCTGTCTCATAAACATGCAAAATTTCAGGTACGTCTTGCTACTTCTACTTTTACTTAGGTCACACTACACTAGCTCTTGTTTATTTCCTCTTATGTCCATGGGGAAGTGGAAAAGAATTCTTCCTCCGTGAGCCATGCGTGTTGTAAGCGGCGACTAAAATGCCGGGAGCAAGGGCCACCCTGCCTTGGTGGGATACGGCCGGTTTGCTGAAAAAATAATATATATATATATATATATATATATATATATATATATATATATATATATATATATATATTGTGAATGTTTTGTCAATGTATTTTGTCTTTAAATAAAATATATATAAAATATAGGGGGTGGTAGGAGAAAATTCTCAAACAGCTTCAGGAAGAACCTTGAGTTTTCCCTGAAGCAAGTTTATTCTTTTCTCTGAGGATGAGGGTCCCTATTACAGTTCTAGAGGTGGTACCTCCCTATATATATATATATATATATATATATATATATATATATATATATATTATATATATATATATATATATATAATATATATATATATATATATATATATATATATATATATATATAGCAAAACAACCACGGGGGAGTAGAATGATGGTTATAGGCCTTTCATGTTGCAATCAACATATCATCAGGAGCTTGCAAAATTGCAGATAAGAGGAGGATGTCCAAGCAAGTATGTTCCCAAAGGACCGTCTTCACTAGAATGATGACAGTGACTGTTACCCAGCCTGACTGGCCGGGTAACAGTCAGAACAGATAGCCAACAACTATTGTCAGACTTCTAAAATTAATGACACAGTAATAATAACCAAACCTAAAAAAATATAGAAAGTAAACTAACCTAACTCTCTCTTTTCTTTCATGTGTACCTGTTAGGTGATGAGAAGGAAGCACCCATTAATATTACACAAGAAAATATTAGCATCTTCGCTGGTAATAGAGTTTTTAGGATTGTGAACTTACGAAAAGTTTAGCCCTTGAGCCAGGTAGTTCAGCATATGATCTTCATGTCCCCAGTCCTTGTGGACATCTCCCACTTCTTTAGAGTAAAAGGCCTCCGTCGCCACTCTCAGTGTCGGCTGTCGTAAAAGTCTGAAAAGATCACCATTTTATGTTTCAGTTCTAAGCATTTTGTTTCTGTGTTAGCTATTTCTGTCTTTTTATTCATTTATCTCTTGTTTAGCTTTTGATTTTGTGAAGGCTTACTCAGCCCTGTAACAACTTCAGACAGTATTACCAAGGCTGGCTCCTCCTCAGGAAAATTAATGAATAGAAAAAGAAATAATTCACAAAGATAAACACTTTATTATTTATTAATGCAAAGATAAAACATTGAAACATGAAGGTGTATCCTGTTTGAAAAAAAATGAAAAATGAAATGAAAAAATAACATTTGAATTCAACACTAATATATACAGTTATAATGGGGTGTCTGGTGGAGGTTGACACCGTCTTGTAGAAATTGTAGCCGTTACTGATGATGTGGGGGGGGTCACAGGTGTTGGTGACAACCCAACGACTAGTTCTTCACAGAGTCTATAGCCTTGAATAGTCAGTCCAGATGACAGGAACGCAGGTTCTTTACCACTACAAAGATGAGGGGTTGTTGTCTGCTGTCACCTACAGTTAATCAGGTAGGTAGATTAAAAAGTGACATCTCCGGACTTTTGCAAAAGTCCTTCTCCTTCAACACTTCTCGTTGGTTGGCAGGTGACCCGATCTGTCATTCCAAGCTGGAAAGAGAGACAGGTTACCCACTGCTTAAGAAATCACTCTCCATGATAAGTGCAAGATACTTAAAAAAGGTGGTGATTATCTAAAAGTCTCATGTGGAGCTTAAAACTGAAATGACCAAGTTTATTATCCACTTGAATAGGAGCAGAGGCTTTTACTTACAGTTGTGCGGGGAGCTGTGAGTCGAGTGATTACTGTTTGGCTGGAGCCCCACACGTCACCTTTCAGGGTGGGGAAAAAGGGGGGGGAGGGGATAGCGGGAGCTAGACTGACCCTACCTTAACAAGCAGCCGGCAATAAAACTATCGTTACCATATACTCGCTCGCTACTCCTATCTGTTGAACTTTTCCCTCACAAGTTCCATCTGAACATCTAGTTTATTGTGTCTCCCTAGCGCAAAACAAGCAAGATATGTCACCATGGGTCTTAATCAACACTTCGTAACATATAATTATATGTTCTCAAAGTCTGGACTAGCACTAAGGCTGGGGGCTGAATCTGAGCCTGGGTCAGCACCAGTGCTGTGGGTCAAATCTGGATTAACACTGGGGCTGGAGGATGGGTCTGAGTTAGCATTATGGGTAGGGATTGGGTTAGCTGACGTTCTTGTTTCCTGTATTTTTTTCAGTGGGTGATTATTCAATTCTGAGTCATCTGTTGTGGTACGGGCATTCTGCACTTTTTATGTTCACTCCTATCCCTTACTCCCATGTTCTATGTATCTTGGGTAGACTATCCAAGAGTTCCTCTTTATTTTCTTGCTTATTTTTATTATTTATGACGCTCCTGAGTACCTTTCTGATACCTGTCCAAAGATCTATAACTTTATTGCAAAACCGGAAGCACCTTGCTAGTTCGATGTCATTGAGGTAGTGTTTATTCTTGCACGAGAGATATGATGCCTGGAAAAGCACAGGTTGCATGTGATCCTGGATTTCCTTCCAAGGATATTTTTTACATGTCCCATAGGTATACCGTACTGACATCCTGCCAGTATCCTACTTCACTCTGCATTCCATGAAAAACTGTTTTCTGCTTTACCTTTCTGCTCTGCACTGGTGACAGAAATAAAGTATGTGAGATGTATTTATAGAAATTGAAGCTTGCAGCTTGTAGGTAGTTGGTGGATTATGCGGGGGATAGAGGGTGACTGTAATATGGCTCTTGGTACGGTGCTATTTATAATAATTGTACTTATGTGTACTTAATTATCCAATAGCCTCGGCTGGTGGCTTCCCAGTTTGATTGGAAATCTTCCACTACAGCTGCTGCTGCTGCTGCTGCTGCTGCTGCTGCTGCTGCTGCTGTTGCTGCTGCTGCTGCTGCTGTTGCTGCTGTTGCTGCTGCTGCTGCTGCTGCTGCTGTTGCTGCTGTTGCTGATGCTGCTGCTGCTGCTGCTGCTGCTGCTGCTGCTGCTGATGCTGCTGCTGCTGCTGCTGCTGCTGCTGCTGCTGCTGCTGCTGCTGCAGGGAAAATTTGAAAGTTCTTGGTGGTTATTTTCTCCATTCCAATAAGCTAAAACTGCTGCTTCCTTTCCTTTGAGTCTTTTGGGATCTCTGAAAATGTTATTTTAAGTTACATAGGATCTTGGTATGACCAAAGTCCAAAAAAGATGATGGTAATTTTACTTTCACAAGTCGGCAGAGGAGTTTTTCCATTACTATATTTTGCTATTTATGTGATAATGAGAGATTCCATTGTTGTCTCATTGGTAAGTAAAAAAAAAAAAAAACCTGCCGGTCAGATGTACAACGAAAAAAAAACACATCGGTGTTGTCCTTCAGCTGCAAGAAGTCTCTCATAGTTCCTGGTAATTCCAGTGTCATACATTCGTCTCTCAACCCTTGAGTGGAGAGGACGTGTGCTGCTGCTGCCCCCTGGAGTTGTCTGGTGGCAGTATTATTTTCACCAACATGGCGCAGGCTCGCCGGCGCAGGGTAAATACAGTCTGCATTGTATTAACCAGTGGAGCTGTAACGGGGCCATCAATGGAGTTGCTTTTGCCTGCAATCATCAGAGATACCTACGGAATAGCCAAAGAGGAGATTTGTGGACTTGCATTGAACGGAACGAAGAGGATTTTTGTAAAATTTAGTTCGGCGACTGTGTATGAGGCAGTTGTGAATAAGTTTCAAAGAGGTGGCCATACCAGTTAACCATGCTGTGACGGTGCGGCTGCATGATGTGTCCAGCTATTACACATGGGTTAAGATCAGGAATGTGCCGTTCGAGGCGGATGCATCTGACATCCGGTTCATTATGTGTAAATACGGCACAATACATACGATCACTGCAGGAAGGTGGTCAGTTGGCCAGTATATGGGGATACCTGAGGGTGCATTCTCTGTCAAGATGACGCTCAGACATCCAATTCCATCGTACGTGGTGATGGAAGATTTCAGGACTCAGGTTTTTGTAACATACGCTGGGCAGCGAAGCACTTGCCGTTTGTGCGGCTCGTATGATCACCTGGCTGCGCAATGTGAAAGAAGACGTGGTGATAGGGACCAGCAGCAACGACGTGATGTGGAGGAAAGGAGAGAGGATCAAGATCAACTGTTTTCGACTCTGCCTCAGCAGAGTCTGACATGGAGTGAGGAGGTTGAGAGGGCCGAAGAAAAGGAGATGGCGGGGGCTACGCAGGGGGACGACATCACTTCCCTGGACGTTGTACAAGTGCTTGATGAGGTCATCGCGGAAGTGAATGGTAGTGACGCGGAAACTACGATAGTGTCGACGTTTGAGAACATTTTGGATAATGAGAGTCCTTGTCCGGATGTTGGTACAGACCTGGATCATGGGTCTGCAGTTGAGGAGGGCGTGGTGACGCCAACCCAGACTGAAGTGTGTCGTAAGGATGCACAGTTGGTGAGAACTGTGGAGGTGGAGGTTCATCATGGCACTGAGCTGGATGACTTGATGCAGGTCGCGGGTACGACGCGAAAGCGCGCAGCAGTGCTTTCGGATTCCGACGACGTGCTTACGCCCGCACAAAGACCTGGGAAGAAAACATGGGCGGAAGCCATGCGGAGAGGTTCAAGTGGCGCCCAGGGGCAGGGGTTGGGTAAGGGTGGACAGAAAGGGGGGGGGAGGGAAAAGGGTGCAATGAAACGATCAGGTGATAAGTCGGTAGTGTCAAGAGGGAAACCCCCTTTGTCGGTTTTAAGTGCCTGACATTGAACATCAATGGCTTGAGGTCTCAGAGAAAGTGTGAGTGGTTTAAGGAATATTTGGTGCGTCATGACGTTGACGTTGTGTTCTTGCAGGAACACAATTATAGACCGGGTTATGAGTTGAAGGTGGATGGGTATAATGTGTATGTTGAGCATGCAGTCAGATTGTGGCCATTTTGGTGAAAGAAACTAGCCCGTTGGTTGTCAGGCATAGTGAGGGGGGAGAGGGGAGGGTGATTCGCGTGGATGGGTTATGGGGTCAGGTACAGATGACGTTGGTGTGTGTGTATGGCCCAGCAGAGGGAGATGTGAGGATAAAGAATAAATTCGTAAGGGACGTTCTGGTATATTATTTGCGTGGATTGCCGGGGTTGCTGTGATAGGAGGTGACTGGAACTGTGTGATAAGGAATAAGGATGTTGAACCGAGAGGAGCAGGGCATTGTTTGGGGATATTGGGAGAATTGTTATCCGGATAGGATTGACAGATGTTGAGGGAGGTGAGGTGGTGGAGCACACATTTATTAAACGTGGGTATGCGGCTAGGCTCGATCGATTATACGTTCCAGGACAGTTGTAATACATAGTGTGAGGGTAATGGACGTAGTATTTTCTGATCACAGGGGTGTTTTGGTGGATATAGGTTGGGAGGGGTTGCCGAGAAGGTGTAAGGGGTTTTGGAAGTTGAATGTAAAGTTGTTGCAGCAAGAAGAGTATCAACAGTCATTTGTTCAATTGTGGGAGGAGTTGGTGGCGGAGGCGCCTGGGAATAGTGAATTGGTTAGTTGGTGGGACTCTGTGGCGAAATCTCGTATTAAGGAATTTTATATTCGTAGTGGGAGGGAATATAACAGGTTGAAGTATGGGTACCAATCTTATCTTGAGGGACAGTTGAGAGCTTGCTACGAGCGTGGGAGTGCTAGTCATCCGGTGGATGATATTGAGGGATTAAAGGAGCGTATCAGGGATTGCAAAATGAAAGATTGATGGCGCGCGAGTTTTGGGTGGGCTGGAAGAGTGTTATGGGGTGACAGGCCTTCGGCATGCGTGTTGAGGAAACAGCGTAAGAGAAGAGTGGCGACGGAGATGATGGGATTAACTGTTCATGTGGGGATGGGAGGGTATAGAGAGGGGCAGGTATTAGTAACGACAGAGGGTATGAGTGGTTATCTAGATGCATGGTTTAGGTCATATGCACAAAACGGAGGTATTCGAGATGAGGCTTTAAAGGAAATGGGAGGTTTCGTGCAATGTGAGATTGATGGTATGGATAGGGTAACATTAGAAGGTCCGATCACGGAAAGTGAGATTTCGCAAGCTTTGTCTGGTGCAAGTTTAGGTAAGGCGCCAGGTGTAGATGGTTGCCTAATGATTTTTACGTTAGGAATTGGGAAGTATTGAGAGGATTTTTAGTTAGGTTATTCAATGTAATGAAGGATGATGGGGAAATGGGGGAGCAGCAAAGGACTGCTGTCGTGGTATTAGTTCCGAAAGGTGGACAGACTACAGTAGAGGATTACCGAGCAATATCGCTTATGTGTGGCGATTATAAGTTATTTGCACGAATATTAGGGAATAGAATAAAAAAGGTGATAGGTAACGTAATTGACAGAGGACAATATGGGGTACCGGGTAGGACAATGTATGAAGGGCATGGAGTTCTTAGAAGTTTTTATAGAAAAGAGGGGGAGTTGGGGGGTGGGGTGTGTTGGCATTGGATTGGCGAGCTGCTTACGATAGTGTGGAGAGGGATGCGTTATGGAGGTTCATGCGTTGGCAGGGATTCGGGAAGGAAATTATATCTTGGGCGAAAACATTGTATCAGGGAGCATCTATGAGAGTACAGGTTAATGGAAGGCTAGGTGTTAACATTCAGATGGGAAGGGGTTTGCGACAGGGTTGCCCTCTATCGCAAATATTGTTTGCCTGCCTCCAGGATCCCTTTTATAGGGCAGTTAGGTGGAGTATCGCAAGTGGAAGGGTTAGTAATGAACGAGAGGGTTGGCCGGGTATTGTGGGTTATGTGGATGATACAACTGTATTGGTGAGGGATGAGACGGATTTACACAAGGTTGGAAAGGTGGTAGATGTGTTTGGAGAGGCTACTGGGATGGAAATTAATGTGGCAAAGTCTAAGTATATGGACCTAGGCAATAACGTAAATAGAGATGGGACTGTAGGGCGCGGGTGGAGTGTGGTGGATCAGCTATTGATTTGTGGGATAGTGTACGCTAAGAATGATAGGGTCGCACAAGAGGTAAATATCGATGCGCACCGTGGATGGGGTATTGAAAAGATTGGGGGGTTTGAGGACGGCGCAGCTAACGTTGCATCAGAGGGTCATTGTGACGAACGTGCTGTTGTATAGTAAGATATGGCACGTGGTGGCAGTATACCCGCTGAGGCGGCGAGAGGTGCAACGGTTGCAACATGGGATTTTCCGATTTATATGGGGATCGGGTTGTGACTGGCTAAGTAGAGGGGTGGTGACGCTTCCCGTTAGCCACGGGGGGCTGGGGCTTATACATTTAGAAAAGCGTATGATGAGTGTGTATCTAAAACGCGGGTATTTGGGGGAGGTGGGGGCGAGGAAAGGGGGGCTAGAAAAACTGCGTATGGATATGCAACGATGGTGGGGGGGTAAGGATTTAATGATTGGTGAGGCCATGTTGAGGGTTTTAATGACGGTGAGGGATCCGAAGCGCCTTAAATTGAGGATTCTTGAGAGGGTGGGTGGTGGGTCTGTGGTGGCGGCAGTTGAGGGGGCATACCCCATGTATGCGTGGGGGAATATCTGGAAATGTTTACGGCAATTGCGTATTTTAAACCAGGTGTAAGGGAGGTAATGTTTAGGTTTCTACATGGAATCTTGCCGTCTGGTGTTGTGTTATTTAATAGGAGACTAAGGGAGGGTGGGGAGTGCAAAGCGTGTGGATGTTCCGAGACTATTTTTCATGCGGTGTATTTTTGTAATTATTTAGAAGCTGTAAGGGTATGGTTAGGTAGGGTAGTTAGGTTAGTGGTGGGGAAGGGTTACAGGTGTTAAGGGTGTTAAGTTTAGATATAGGTGGGATGAGTCAGATGGTGGTGAATGTGGTTGTGTATGTGGTCACTGATTTTATTTATACGTCTTGGGCTATGAGGGAGGTGGGTGTGAGGGAGGTGGGTGTGAGGGAGGTGGGTGTGAGGGAGGTGGGTGTGAGGGAGGTGGGTGTGAGGGAGGTGGGTGTGGATGAAAGAATAAAGGTGTTAGCGGCCACCATTTATAGAACTAAGTGTCGCAATAGGGATGTTTATGGGGGAAGGTGGGAGACAGTGTTTACTGAGGGATACCGGAGTTTTAAGTTAAAGGATTTACGGGATTTAAGTGTAAATGGGTAGCGACGGGCTAGTTTCTTGAGCGGAGATGTGTGGATGGCTTTTAAAGTGTGTGACTGGATTTGCACTGATACATTTATGCTTTTCTGAGTAGTGAGTGTGGTGTGGGTGGTGTTTTTACACATGTGTTCCCTTTATGTCGTGAAGATTTTGGATAGTATATGTACGTAATGTATTGGAGCACTACATCATTGTGTGTATACAAGGTGAATGAAAGGGTAGAATCTTAAAGTTTTTGTGTGTGTGAGAATGACTGTTCGTTATTGTGAGAGTGCCTTCAAAGATGTTATAGAAAGCATATACTAAATGGTGTTACTAAGGTATGCCATATGACTGTATCGAATATGCTGTGATACAAAGTCCGGGGTTTCCCTTCTTGTTGGATGCATTCTGTAAGACACAATTTCTGTATTCAGAAGGTTCGAAGTTTACATAGCTGTAATGAGTAACGTGGTACAGTTTTATATTATGCGAGATTGTATTTTTGTACATAAAGCCTAACATATAATGTTTCAGCGGCCTGGTTAAGATTATATAGTACATGTCGTGTGACACTGTATGTGTAGGGTAGTGTTAAATATTTTAAGTACACGCTGTTGTTTTCCCTTTGCTATTTTATTGTTTAAAGTCACATATAAGAGTATATGTAAAGGTAATATAAAAATGTATATTGATTTTGTGTAAATACGCAATTTCAGATGACTTTGTTGGATCAGGTGTGCATATGAGTTCAAGTAGCGGTGTATATTATGTATTAATACTGGTATAGGGTATATAGTGTATGAAGAAGTCTTGGGTGGATTGCACCCGTGCTGAGATATAGAGTATATTATCCTTGTTTTGCTAGGCAAAGTTTTCATAATTGTTACTTAGAGCAAGTAGTATCCTGCGCTCTTATAGTATGTCATTGTTTTGTAGGTATTTGATGGGGGGGGGTACATTTTACTTCCAGAGCACATATGTACGACTTTATAAATGTACCTTTGGTGGGGGTGGATGTATAGGTTTTAATGGTATGTGGTGAGGTTTTTACCTTTAAGAATTGTTTTGTATATAAACTTGCATAAGATGTTTAAGTGTGCTGAAGTAGATTCTCTGGATATGTTGTTGGTACACCTGTGCGAAGTTTCTTTTTCTTTTTTGATTGTGTATACGTATGTTGTACAATAATTTTGTTGTTACATGTTGATTGGTTTCGTAACATGTTTGCTTACACGTATAATGTATACTGTATTTTAAATACAAAAAAAAAAAAAAAAAAAAAAAAAAAAAATGTATAGAGGATGAGGGACAGTTTGTGTCAGCACAAAGTTAAATGTTTATGTGTATTTTGACAATGTAATTTATAATTCTGGGTAAGAACTGATACTATGTTCTTTTATTTATTTAATGTATTGTATTGTTTTAAATAAAATATAAAAAAAAAAAAAAATTCCAGTGTCATTGGGAAAGTCTACTCTGGCACGTTGAAGTCTCTTCATTTTATCCTTTTGAGCTAGTCGTCTTTCCCATGTCTGAGTGTAGCCCTCTGAAACAACTCTGCAGAAACCACCCATGTTGCCTTCCACTTCCAGTTATCTTTAGGTATGATCACACTCAGACTGGTGGCCATACGTGGGCGTGTGGTGTCACTCGCAAGGCCAATCAGTAGGCTTAATTCCCTGTTATTTGTGTATTGTTCCAGTCACGGTATTGTGCCTTTTTTCGTTATTCTCTAATTTCTAATTTACAATTAAACCACAATATGGAGAGGAAGTTTTTCGACTTCGTCTCCGTCAATCCTGGACTATTAATCACGGAAACTGAGACTTGAAAAATTATCCAGAATAAACTGAACAAATTGTTGTTTTCAAATTTCGGGTCTTGCATTGTTTCGGTCTCAGTATTATTATTTCTTATTAATCACTACACTGCGCAATATATATATATATATATATATATATATATATATATATATATATATATATATATATATATATATATATATATATATATATATATATATATATATATAAAGCAACAGCTCTAAGAAGCGCGCACCTTATGTATTTTTCCGGAAATAGCGGTAAATTAGTAGTAAGTGTGAGACCTCGTTGAGGCGACCAGGAAGCAAGCAGCATTGCCTTGTCGCTTGGTGAGCTGTATGGCAGATGTATGTATATTCCGCACCTGACAAAAAAAATTATATATATTGTTTCCTTCTTATTGTATTAGTTTGGAAAACTTTATTCAGGCTTTCGTGGCAGGAGATAAATGACTATATTTGTGGTTTCGGACAATTAAATATATAATCAAATCCGGTCATTTATTACCTGAATGTTTCAGGAATGTCTTCCACTACGAGCAACATGGAGTTCGTCGTAGAGAAGACCCAGTAGAGGTGCTGCATGTGCGATAGAGACAATCTTGTTACGACGAGAATCCTAGTTGACCACTCCTGGAGGCGGCTCTTCAGCAAGCACTCAAAGAAGGCTGCCAGAAAGACTGCGTCATCACTAACCACCACCACAGTCGTACACCTGGACTCCTGCCGCAGCTGTTGACGGCATCATAGTTAACATTGTGAGACCTACTTCTTTCAGTAGCGATGTGACTTCAACTACCTCTGTAGTAATGTGAGTGTGACGTACCCGCTGAGCGTGCCTGACCATCCTAGTGAGCTGTAACAGCGTCATATTCGCGTCGTGATCTCTCCATGTCACCTCAAACACTGCAACACTCCAGGGAGACCACGGAAAAAATGTCTCCTGTAAAAATAGTGACAAATGCGTAAAACGCACTTACTCAGCGACCTTATTTATAAATCTTATAAATACAGCAATGTCAAATATTTCAAGAGAAATCTGCATACCGTGAAAACTTGGGTGAAGGATGGGGACCCGTCAGTAAGAAAGAAGACAGAGCAACTTGGATCTGATTCTTCTCCCAGAACTGCTGTTATAACTCGAGATGTTTCAGGGCCGCGACTAACTAAGAATAATATTCAATGTGTAACATTTTAGAAAAGCCTCCATAACGTCACAGTGCTGCTATACTGATGTTGTATTTGCTATACCATCCGAGAGATTTTATTTTACAACTGGAAAGATATTTTTGACAAGAATATGAAATATAATGGAATTGCAATTCATTTTAATGCTTTTAAAGTTGATCTCTCTGCGTGCAACAATGACAAGAAATTTCTAGCGTCCTGGAGTTCTATTTTAAATCTGTGAGATGTTTATTTTTAGAGAATTTTTTTAATTTGATATATTATCATAACATTTAAAAAATATTTTTATAGCAGCTATGAAAATTAACAAGTAAGTTTTAGTTAATATAAACTAAACGTATTTGAAGTTAGTCATATGTAATTTCATTTGATTTTTTTGTTAAAAAAATTTAAAAAAAAAGATAATAAAATATTGTGTTCATTTTTACATTCACTTTCAGGTCCAACAATGGAGTAAAGATTTTTTTCTTAATATCGAAGTAAATAAGATCACTTACAATCTAAATCTCTTACTGGATTTGTCTCAATGTGTAATTTTAAAACCTGGTGCGTCTTAAAATACTTGAAAACCCTTGAATATCCAAAATATTTCTAAAATTTAAGTATTCTAAATAAATTTCTTATCTCTAGTTAAAACATTAATTCAATATTTCAAAGTCGTGATACAGTGAACTAAATCCTACATATGAATTTTCTTATGAATATTTACACTTACCAGAGAGAAGAAGGACGGTATGAACTCTTTTACCTCAGGGTAGTAAAGTATGAGCGGCACTCAGGAACACTGTGCTGGTCTTACCACACGGGAGTAGAGTATGAGCGGCACTCAGGAACACTGTGCTGGTCTTATCACAAGGGAGTAGAGTATGAGCGGCACTCAGGAACACTGTGCTGGTCTTATCACAAGGGAGTAGAGTATGAGCGGCACTCAGGAACACTGTGCTGGTCTTATCACAAGGGAGTAGAGTATGAGCGGCACTCAGGAACACTGTGCTGGTCTTACCACACGGGAGTAGAGTATGAGCGGCACTCAGGAACATAGGGCTGGTCTTACCACATGGGAGTAGAGTATGAGCGGCACTCAGGAACACTGTGCTGGTCTTACCACACGGGAGTAGAGTATGAGCGGCACTCAGGAACACTGTGCTGGTCTTATCACAAGGGAGTAGAGTATGAGCGGCACTCAGGAACACTGTGCTGGTCTTATCACAAGGGAGTAGAGTATGAGCGGCACTCAGGAACACTGTGCTGGTCTTACCACACGGGAGTAGAGTATGAGCGGCACTCAGGAACATAGGGCTGGTCTTACCACATGGGAGTAGAGTATGAGCGGCACTCAGGAACACTGTGCTGGTCTTACCACATGGGAGTAGAGTATGAGCGGCACTCAGGAACACAGTGCTGGTCTTACCACACGGGAGTAGAGTATGAGCGGCACTCAGGAACACAGTGCTGGTCTTACCACACGGGAGTAGAGTATGAGCGGCACTCAGGAACATAGGGCTGGTCTTACCACACGGGAGTAGAGTATGAGCGGCACTCAGGAACACTGTGCTGGTCTTAACCACATGGGAGTAGAGTATGAGCGGCACTCAGGAACACAGTGCTGGTCTTACCACACGGGAGTAGAGTATGAGCGGCACTCGGGAACACAGTGCTGGTCTTACCACACGGAGTAGAGTATGAGCGGCACTCAGGAACATAGGGCTGGTCTTACCACACGGGAGTAGAGTATGAGCGGCACTCAGGAACACTGTGCTGGTTTTACCACATGGGAGTAGAGTATGAGCGGCACTCAGGAACACAGTGCTGGTCTTACCACACGGGAGTAGAGTATGAGCGGCACTCAGGAACATAGGGCTGGTCTTACCACACGGGAGTAGAGTATGAGCGGCACTCAGGAACACTGTGCTGGTCTTACCACATGGGAGTAGAGTATGAGCGGCACTCAGGAACACAGCGCTGGTCTTACCACACGGGAGTAGAGTATGAGCGGCACTCAGGAACATAGGGCTGGTCTTACCACACGGGAGTAGAGTATGAGCGGCACTCAGGAACACTGTGCTGGTCTTACCACATGGGAGTAGAGTATGAGCGGCACTCAGGAACACAGCGCTGGTCTTACCACATGGGAGTAGAGTATGAGCGGCACTCAGGAACACAGCGTTGGTCTTACCACACGGGCGTTGGTCTTACCACACGGGAGTAGAGTATGAGCGGCACTCAGGAACACAGCGTTGGTCTTACCACACGGGAGTAGAGTATGAGCGGCACTCAGGAACACAGCGTTGGTCTTACCACACGGGAGTAGAGTATGAGCGGCACTCAGGAACACAGCGTTGGTCTTACCACACGGGAGTAGAGTATGAGCGGCACTCAGGAACACTGTGCTGGTCTTACCACATGGGAGTAGAGTATGAGCGGCACTCAGGAACACAGCGCTGGTCTTACCACATGGGAGTAGAGTATGAGCGGCACTCAGGAACACAGTGCTGGTCTTACCACATGGGAGTAGAGTATGAGCGGCACTCAGGAACACTCTGTTGGTCTTACCACATGGGAGTAGAGTATGAGCGGCACTCAGGAACACTCTGTTGGTCTTACCACACGGGAGTAGAGTATGAGCGGCACTCAGGAACATAGGGCTGGTCTTACCACACGGGAGTAGAGTATGAGCGGCACTCAGGAACACAGTGCTGGTCTTACCACATGGGAGTAGAGTATGAGCGGCACTCAGGAACACAGTGCTTGTCTTACCACATGGGAGTAGCGTATGAGCGGCACTCAGGAACACAGTGCTGGTCTTACCACATGGGAGTAGAGTATGAGCGGCACTCAGGAACACAGTGCTTGTCTTACCACATGGGAGTAGCGTATGAGCGGCACTCAGGAACACAGTGCTGGTCTTACCACATGGGAGTAGCGTATGAGCGGCACTCAGGAACACAGTGCTGGTCTTACCACACGGGAGTAGAGTATGAGCGGCACTCAGGAACACAGTGCTGGTCTTACCACATGGGAGTAGCGTATGAGCGGCACTCAGGAACACAGTGCTGGTCTTACCACATGGGAGTAGCGTATGAGCGGCACTCAGGAACATAGGGCTGGTCTTACCACACGGGAGTAGAGTATGAGCGGCACTCAGGAACACAGTGCTGGTCTTACCACATGGGAGTAGCGTATGAGCGGCACTCAGGAACACAGTGCTGGTCTTACCACATGGGAGTAGCGTATGAGCGGCACTCAGGAACACAGTGCTGGTCTTACCACATGGGAGTAGCGTATGAGCGGCACTCAGGAACACAGTGCTGGTCTTACCACATGGGAGTAGAGTATGAGCGGCACTCAGGAACATAGGGCTGGTCAACAACAACACCAGCTCCACAAACCTCTCACACACCATTTCTCACCACTCACTGTAAATATGTAACAAGCTGCCATATTAGCAAGTAAGTGTACAATGCTGAGTACTGTATTATGCTGAGTGCTATATTATTATAATGAGTATTGTACTATGATGGGTGCTGTACTCTCGTCACCATGTTATTACCAGCACCATGCTGAGTGCTGTAATCTCATTATATTGTTACCCAGCAACATAAGTGTTTCACGCTCATCATCATATTTTGAAACAAATATAACTTTAAGACATCTGCTGTCTATATTCACCTATCAGTAAAATAGGTATCTGGGTGTTAGCCGACTGGTGTGGGTCGCATCCTGGAACGAAACTGACCTAATCTGCGGGAAATGCTCTGCATAACTAGGGGCTTTCTATATAGTAGTGTGTCATTGATGTCAGTTAGGCCTGTATACCTTGTACATGTACTTGTAGAAATAAAGATATTAATATTATTATATTATTACTGTACATTTTATTTAATACAGGTTATGGAGCTCCCTCCACCTACACCCCGCACTAATCACCCCGCTGGCTGGTGACTCACCCCCTTGGCTACTCACCCCCTGGCTGGTCACTCACACCCTGGCTGGCCACCCACTCGTTACATTCATCTCTACACTGTCTCCAATCACACTTAACTGTGATTCTTCCGTACATCAGCACGTATTTCTCTCTCATTTAACTGGGTACAAGATGCTAGAGTTAGGTGTGTTTGTGAAGGCTTCTCCAAGTTCGTATATACGGAAGAGTTGGCCAGTAGCTAACATAGCATTCCTAGACTGTGACAGAACAAGACCAGAACGACAGCAGCTGAGGGAGAGGACACTGAAACGAAAGGGGCTAGGAAGAGACAAGGACAGTCAGCAGAGGACAACCAGAGCAACAAACACAAGCACACACAGAACCACCCCCAGAACCCCACAGCCAAACATGCTATCAGAGCACAACCCACAATCCACACTTGCAGCCCCCTCCCCACACAATGCTGTAGAATCCCACAGCACACTGCCAGGTTCCCCACCCCCATAGACCCCCAGAACACAGTGATGGAGAGGAAACTGAAGGTATGGTACACCAACGCTGATGGAATACCAAATAAGTGAGAGGAGTGGCATGAAAGAATCAAAGGGGCATCACCGGACATCATAGCTCTCACAGAAACCAAACTCACAGAAAGGATAACAGATGCCATCTTTCCAATGGGATATCAGATCCTGAGGAAAGAGAGAGGGAACAGAGGGGGTGGAGGAATGGCACTGCTCATCAGAAACCATAGGATCCATGGGATTTTGATGAGCTGGAGAGAGGAGACAGAGGAGAAGGAAGAGACTACTTAATAGGAACACTTCAGTCTGGAGGTCCCAAGGTGGTAATTGCAAGGATGTTTAACCCACAACAGAGCAGCAGGAGGCCAAGGCGAGAGCATGATGAGAGTAACGGAGCGATGGTTGACACACTGGCTGAAGTGGCTAGAAGAGCTCATACGAGCAGGGCAAAGCTGTCTACTGTGGGTGACTTCAGTCACAAGGAAATTGACTGGGAGAACCTGGAGCCACATGGGGGCCCAGAAACGTGGAGGGCTATGATGATGGAGGTGGTACTGGAAACCCTCATGTACCAACACGTAAGGGACACTACCAGAGAGTGAGGGGAGGATGAACCAGGGAGAATGGACCTAGTATTCTCCTTGAGTAGTGCAGATATTGAGGACATCACATGTGAAAGACCCCTCGGGGCCAGTGACTACGTGGGTCTGAGCTTCAAATACATAGTAGAGTTACAAGCAGAGAGGGAAGCAGGAAGGGCAGGACGAATGAAGCCAAACTACAAGAGAAGAGACTACACAGGAATGAAGAATTTCCTGCACGGGGTTCAGTGGGACACAGAACTGGCAGAGAAATCAGTAAATGAGATGATGGAAAATATGACAATATGCAAGGCAGCTGAGGAGAGATTCGTACCCAAGGGTAACAGAAATAACGAGAAAGCCAGGATAAGCCCGTGGTTAATCAAAAGGTGTAGAGAGGCCAAAACCAAGTGTGCTAGAGAATGGAAGAAGTATAGAAGGCAAAGGACCCAGGAGAATAAGTAGAGCAGTCATAGAGTCAGAAATGAATATGCACAGGTAAGAAGGGAGGCCCAAAGTATATGAAAATTACATAGCAGCAAAAGCCACATCTGACCTGAAGCAGTTGTACAGCCACATCAGGAGGAAAGCAACAGTCAAGGCCCAGGTAATCAAGCTAAGGAAGGAAGGAGGGAAGATCACAAGAAACGACCACAAAGTACGTGAAGAGCTCAACATGAAATTCAAAGAAGTGTTCACAGAGGAGATATGAAGGAACTCCAGAAAGACAGAGAGGTGGGGTACACCATCAAGTGTTGGGTACAATAAATACAATCGAGGAAGAAATGAAGAGACTGCTAAGCAAGCTAGATTACTCAAAGGTGATGGGGCCAGATAACATCTCTCCATGGGCCCTGAGAGAGGGAGCAGAGGCACTATGTGTATCACTAACAACAATCTTCAACACATTTATCGAAACAGTACAACTACCTGAGGTATGGAAGACAGCAAATGTAGTCCCAATTAAAAAAAAGGAGACAGACACAAAGCATTAAACTACAGACCAGTGCCACTGACATGTATAGTATCAAAGTCATGGAGAACATTATCAGGAGAAGAGTGGTGGAGCATCTTGAAAGGAATGCATTTAATGACAACCAGCAACGGTTTCAGGGACAGGAAATTCTGTGTCGTAAACCTACTGTAGTTATATGACAAGGTGACAGCAGTAAGACAAGAGAGAGAGGCTGTGGGTAGATTGCATTTTCTTGGACTGTAAGAAGGCGTTTGACACAGTTGCACGCAAGAGATTAGTGCAAAAGCAGGGGGACCAAGCACGGTTAACAGGGAAGGCACTGCAATGGATCAGGGAAGACAACCGCGAGTCATGGTACGTGACGAGGTGTCAGAGTGTGCGCCTGTGACGAGCGGGGTTACACAGGGGTCAGTGCTAGATCCGGTGCTGTTTCTGGTATATGTGAACGACGTGACGGAAGAAATAGACTCAGAAGTGTTTCTGTTTGCAGATG